CTTCTAAATATACTTGGCACGCACAGGCGCAAGTCCTTAATGAACAGCTTTTCCTACAGAATGTCATTTTTCCAAGGTTCTTTTATAAACGATTTGACATATGTAGATGATCATGAAAAAGTATATAGACTCACACTTTAACTTTACTTAAAAATCAACTTTCCTTTTCTCAGAAGTCTTATCCTCCTACTATAAATCTTCCCTGTTCTGTTTAATCAGCAAAATATGCGACTTCCATAAGACCACGTAACAAATAGTATGCGTGTCTTTGTGCATATCATCCAATCAAGTAAGTAGTTCATACAGATATAAGACTGTGCTAAGACTTGTGATTTGAGTAAATTATGAGTAATCAGAAAACAACATGCTTTTAAAGGTATCTATTATTATGCATATAACCTCTGAAAGTGAACTGAAAGAAAAAAACTTTAGGAAATAGCAATACTTTTGAAATACTAACAAGCAGTGCATTATTTTTATTGTTTTAAATTTTTAGTTTTAGTAATTCCTTTGAACTGTGAAATATTACTGAGAAGTACATTTCACTCTGGTAATCTTTCACTAAGGTCAAATTAATTCCAATTTCAAAATTCAGAGTTTGGTGTTACAATTTTTTTCCTCACCAACTCATTTCTTATATGAAGAACAAGACTTGACGAGTTGAAGCTTAAAGAAAACCACCTTGCTGATAAAGCTTATCTGACTTTATGTCTATGGGGTGGAATGCAGGCTAAATTTCTTGTGAATACTTTACTTAGGAATGACCCAGGGAAATGCTGTGGGCCTGCCCTCCACCTTGTTTGTCAGCAGCTCCAAACACTGACACTGTCTTTAGTCACCATCATCTCCATCTAGTGGCAAAGGCATTTTTTCTTCAAATCCCAAATTCCCACTTTGCACAATCTTCCCATGCAGAAGTCATCTGCAGAGACAACCTTTTTTGGTCTAGTTTACTTCTAAAATGTCAACCATGGGCCCATGTGTCAAAGGCTTAGTGCCTGGCTCAGTGTTATAGAGAGCTAGTAGAAACTATAAGAGGTAAGGCCTAGTAGGAGGTCTTCTAGCCCTAAGGGGTGTCTATCCTTGAAGAGGTCAGCGGGACCCTGGCCCTTCCTCTTCTACTCTTTGGCATCTCAGATATGAGGTGAACAATTTTGCTATTTTATATGATTCTGCCATGATGTATCTCTCCCTCCCCTACCAGACAAATCATGAATAGTAATCTCCAAAACCATGAGCCAAAGTAAACCTTATTTCTCTATCAGGTGATTTGTCTCAGGTATTAGTTACAGTGACAGAAAGCTGAGCAAAACATGTATCAGGCATTACACGGCAAACCAGATTTAAATTACATTAACAAGGGCCCTGGCCATGAACTGAATACTCTTTTTGGTGAAAGAGAGATGATGATGCCTTTTAAGAACAAATTGCCCTTCTAACATTTAAACTTATTAAGCATTGAGAAAATACCTCATTTGTTGTTGTGTTCCTAGGACTTGTCAAATACTGAATTACAGTGAGCTGCCTATAAATATCTGTGGGATGATGTAGAAAATAAGGAAGGCTGCATGACATCCCCAACTAACCATAGGGACTAAGACACTGCAATGGAACACCTGTTATTTGTAATTAACCAAAAAGATGGATCTCCCCCATGATGCAGAGACAGAAAGCTCTTAGGAGCTTAGAGGAAAAGGGTGATGGCTGCAGTTATTTTCCAAGCAAGTCCTGTCACACGTCCAGGAATCCTGTGAGTATGTTTCATATACAATCTATACATGGAAATGTTCACAGAGATGTTTCATGCTTGCTATAGAAAATGCAGGTAATACAAAAAGGGGATTTTGAAGAAGCAAAAAGCCCCAGAAATCCACCATTCAAAAAATAAAACACAAAACCAAAAAGAAAACACTTCCATCGATAATTGTGCAAGCATCATCCCCAATAAATCTTTATTAGATTTATCTGCATCTATGCTTCTTATAATATGCTTTCTTTTTGTTCTTTGCTTCATAAATTTTTTCCTCTGATGAAGTGTTTATGTTTCTTTTTAATTTTACCAGCAGTTATTTTTCTAAGTTTAAGTAGAAATAATACTTTCTTTTGTGTAGCCAATATTTCTGATGCATATTGTAAACAATTATATGTTCAAATGATTTTAATGTTCATTACTAGTCCATTCATTCTGTAAATGAGTTTTTAAAATTATTATCAGTAAGTTTTTTAGGTTATATCTTCTAGTATATTTCCTAAATCTTTGAAAGGTTTTGACTCTTTTATTATTAATCACATATTTCTATTTTATTTGTATTTAAGCAATGATTTAAGTGATTATATAAGACTTCAGTTATATTATTTTGACTCAAGTTTTGTACATGTCACCAAATTGGTTTTGGAACACAGTGACTCTGAGGAAGAAGTTGGAATTCAGGCTAGTTTTTAACCTTGATTATATATTTTTTTGCATGTATGGTTACAGATATATTGTTAGATATTTGCATTTAAGTGGACTACCACTATTGTCTTGATGTTCCTTGCTTTGTAACACACGTGCCAGGAACACCCTGAATTATGTTGGTCTACAGATTTTGATGAAAAATTTCTTTACAGAAAACAGTTTTGGGGGCTTTTTGGTGCTAATATTATTTTTAGTTATAACAATGATCCATCTTGATATTAATTTCTTGTCTCCATATCTATAACCTTTGCTCTTATTAAATAAGTTACAGGGGAAGAATTTATAGTGCTTCCTTACACAAAAGAAATGCTCAAGATATTAATTATTCTTGTATGTAACTGCTTTAACCTCTCCTTTCCCTCTAAATTTTGGCTGATTTTCTCAGTCTCCCTCTCCTCATCGCCCATTCAACTCTATAGCACTGATTTTTTTACTTTGAATTTCTAAAGACTTTTTCATTTCTTCAATAACAATCACTTTTCATTTCCTTAATATGGCCAACAGTCTTTACATCTATCTCACTTGAGTTATTATTTCATTTTCCATCCCTTTATTCTCAATTTTGGTGATATTCTTTAAATTGTATTAAATTCACTCATGTCCTCAAACAGTACTGTAAAATTTATTTCTCACTCCTTAAGTAAAACCTTTTGAAATGTGTTCTAAAATCAACCTCCTCTCTTTCAGTCTTGGGCTACATTTTGCAACAGTGTAACCTAGGCAAAATATTTTAGGTCTAGGTACCTTTGAATGCTTAAATTCTCAGTGCTTTACATCTTCCCTCTCCTTAATCTTTTCATCTGACCTCAATTGCCCATGCTGATAGACCTTTTTATCAATGTGGTGTCCTCCTAAAGATGAACAGCCTCAAATGGATGCTTTACTTTCTCTGGAAACTTCTTTCTTCCTGACTCTTAATCTGCCATGCTCCTGACAAGCAGCACAGAAGTTCACAGGCTTAGAGTCAGCCCAGGCTCAAAGTCAGGACTTTGGAATAATTACTGCTCAGGATTATTAGTGCTATATTTTAAGCTGCCTTATATCATTTTGTGGCTTGGCCTACAAAATGAAATGCTATTAATATTACCATCAATATGGGAAAATGTATTATATTCAACAGACTGATGAGATCACTTTTGAAATAACACCTGGTGTTCCTTGGGCATTTTTTGTATTTTGTTTAGCTTCTTGCATGTCTCTTTCTCTCTTGAAAGTTATAAGCCCTTTGAAGGAAGAAAATATCATAATTATCCTTTTTATTATCCATGTGGATATTTCAGAAAACATTTCTTTTAAAGTGTTTTATTTTTAATAATAGCTTCTTACCGGGTTATCTCATCATTTTCTATTTGTTCAGTGAACAAAAATTCTGCTATTATAGGCAGGGTGTGGCAATGTGAGTGCTTCCAAATCCCAATTAGAATTCACCACAGGAAGATGTTTAAAGAGCTTTGGGCTTCAAAAGGGAAAAAATGTAAAAAGATTTTCCAGAAACAGTAATTACTGACTAAAACCATTAACAACACTATAAAATACTAAGTGAAAAATAAGTTTTAGCTCCTCAAAGGCTTAGCTTAAGTCATTTCCTCTAAGAAGATTTCCCCAACTACTTGGGCCATGCCAATTCCTTTAGACACACCATCACATTCTATTCGTAATTCTGTCTTCCTATTGACCACATTGCTTGAAATTATCTGCACATACGTGACATACCCAAGAGTAAGACAACACCTACTGATCTTGGTAGCCATGGTGCCCAGGTGCTATGTATGTATACAGATTAATCTCCCTGGAAGGTAACTTGAATGATCTCTATCTCAATGATAGATGTGTAGATAAAAGTAGTTTTATGTTTCTCAAGTTTTTACCTCATTTGTAGACACAATGTTTCAAGTTTCTCAAGTTTTACATCCTAAGAACAGATAACCAGTGTGTCTGCCAGGTTTGAGGGGCAGCTATTAGTGGAGGTGTTTTAGGCAGAGCTTGGGACACACAAGCTAGAGGATCCACAGACTTATCTGTGAGGCTGACTGGAATGCAGGAAAGAGAGACAGAATCAGTTCAGGATGGTAGCAGAGACTGGAGTCCAGTTCTCAAGGGGCCACCATGTAGTATCATGAAATGCCAATTCTGAATCTGATCTTCCTTGTCATCATGAAGGTGCACTTGTCAAAGTGAGAGGATAGAAGATACATTATTAAACATTTTTCTGAGTTTGATTTATAACTTGGATGTATTTAAGCCTAGGTTATGAGGGTCTGTATTAGTACTGTTGTCTGGAAATGTTAGAGGTGGGTCTAGATACCCCTGCACTGGAGATCAAGTGGGAGGGAGGTAGCACTTGCAGATTCAAGGCAGAAAGAGCAGAGATCAAAAAAGAAGCTCTGAGATGAGAAAAATGGAAACTCAAACATGTCTGGCTAAAACCGTAATCCCCTTTGCCATGTGACCTAAAATAGTCACAGATTCCCAGGTTTAGTGTCATTTTTCTATCTACTACAGACTATAATCAGCTGAAATTTGGTTGTGCTCACTCCTTTAGATTCTGTACCGGGCAACTCCGGAAGAATCACACCCTCTAGCAACACTGAAAGGGACCCTGGAGAAAGAGAGGAAGAGAGGGAGATGGAAGAAGCCAACCAGACAGATGCTTTGTCATTTGCTTCTTTGCTTGGTCAGTTGATCTCTCTCTCTCTCTCTCTCTCTCTCTCTTTCTGGTTTGGGTATTGAATACAGGGTGTCATGCATGCTAAGTATGCTCTCCACCACTGAACCACACTCCAGCATGTTTTTTGTTTTTTGGAAAGAGCACTGATATTTGAAAATGAGTAGAAAGCAGTGCTTAGATATAATCTAATCATGTCATGCGTTTGTCAGAATATAATAATTTCTTCACCCTAATTCTCACTATCCTTTGCTTGATTTGGAAGACATCTACCTATATTTGACTAAATGTGGGAAGTACAAAATACATACTGTTTCTTCCTAAAGGAATACAAACTTGAAGAGGAATCCTTTATCATAAAGTCGTCATACTGAACATAGCTTTTGGCTTTCAGGAATAAAATTTAGATTGATGTCACAATGAAGTAGTTCACCAGAACTCAGTGAAAATTGGGGCCCAACTAAACTTTCCAAAAAGAGTTTATGCAGCCCTTGTTGTTCTTCAATCTTTCTCATTTGTTGGCCACACACACACACGCGCGCACACACACACACAATCTCAGCTGTCAAATATCTACAATGAGGTTATTCTGGACAGACATACAACCCACACAATCAAGCCTTTGGTCATCCATCTGCAGGACCCTCTGCAGTGTGAACTTATATAGACTGGCTAGCTTCACTGCCACAATATTGTCCATGCTGAACCTAGACTTTGGAGACTTTTCCCAAAGGGATTCCTTTGGGGAATAGAAAAGTTATATAGTTAATCTTGACAATTTAAATATAAAATTCTCATCATTACTGCCGACAAAAAATATAGCAAATTTTAGTAATATTACATTATACCATTCAGCCAACTATTATTAGATTGTGAATATACTTTTAGCCCTCCAGATTTACAGACTGTACAAACTAGGGATCAAAAATATTAGAAAAAAATGCATCTGCACTGAATATTTACAGACATTTTCTTCGTGTCATAATTCCCTACATAGTACACTAGGAACATTTTTATACCTTTTACATTGTTATGCATTACAAGTAACTAAAGAAGGTTTAAACAATACAGGAGGATGTATGCAGATTATATAGAAACATGATACCATCAGTTGGTATCAGTATCTTGAGCATTTGAGATTTTAGTGTCCACAGAGCTCCAGGAACCCATTCCCCATACTGAGGATGACTGCATTTAAATAATTTTACTTTGCCAAGAACTTACTTAGAAAAGGTGCTTTTAGTAACATGACATTTTTAGTTAAAACAAAAAAACTATATACTCTCTATCTCTTCTTTTGTGTTTGAGATTATTTAGTAATTTATGATTGTCATACTCAATAAACAGCCACTGAAGTCATGATATAGTAGACAGAAAAGAAATATAATACAGTAGAGTAGAACTGGATTACAACAGACTTACAATAAAGTTAGAGAATACATAAAACTGGGGATTCATAAACAAAGAATAATTTAAAATACAATTAAATTATAAACTGTGATAGGTCAGCAAAAGGGAAGACCAGTATCCAATAAATGTCAGAGAGAGCATCTCTGAGGAACAACCTTGTCTAAAATGCAAAGGCTCTCACACAGCAGGTAGTCAGATTCCTGCATGGCTCCTTCCATCTCAGACAGACTTCAATGCAAGGTTTCAGTCCTCATCCTTCTCACCTCCATCTCCATTGATTCCTTAGATGACAATATCCAGTGCCCTAAGGCACAAAGATTCCCAACAGATGTCTGAAGCCAATCTCCCCTTCAAGCGCCTGATATGAAGACTCAACCACCTATCTGATAGATCCACATCCATGTCTTGTTTGTAATTCAAAGATGTAACATGTCCAAAATAAGACTTTTTAAATTCCATTCTCTAATCTGTTTTCCCAATTCAAAATGCCAACATTCATCCAGTTGCGTAGACCAAAACTTGGTATTATCTTTGACTCTTCATATTGCCCACATCCAATTCATCAGAAAATTCAACAGCTTTTTATCCTCTGCACTGTCTCTGCCTTGGTCCAAGCACCATCCCCTTTCTCTTGACCAAAGCAATCTCTTAGCTGGTCTCCTCACTACCAACAAGCAGAGTTATCTTTTCAGAAACTTCGATTAGTTCTTTGCAAGAACTTATTTTAAACAATCCAGTCATTTTCCAAACTAATGGACTACAACCCACACTTTTTAAATATGCTCTGGAAGACCCCATTCCAGTAAGTCACAACCCATTAATCATGATATATAATCATGGGAGATCATGACATACATTTCAAGAACATAATAGGATAGAATGAAAATTGCCACCACTCATCATATGTAATAATAGAATTATTTTGTGGTGTTCTCAAGTTTTTAAAAATCAGGCTACAAAAGATAGGGTGTCTAATTCAGTGATGACCCTGTCTTCCTGGAAATGGGCTAAGGGTTCACCCACAAGACCCTACCATCGCCACAACTGCCACCACCAGCAGCAGCACCACCACCACTTCAAATGACAATCATAAGCCAGGTTGTGACCCACGCTTTTGACTCAATGGCTATAAATCAAGATTCCTATGACTCCTTCCTTGGGTTCAATTAATTTGCTACAGCTTTTCAAAGAACTTAGGGAGATAACTTTACTTATGTTTGCATATTTATTATAAATGATACTAAAAGGATACTGATGAACAGCCAAAGGTGAGGTTTACACATAATTATCAGAAATAGGTGTCCTTAAGTATTTGTTGAACAAATAAAGCAAATTAAGTTTCTGTACTTTCTCTTATGTGTTCTACCTTCCAGGAACCACTGTATGTGCCACTTTCCCAGAAGCTCTCTGACCCTGAGTCTTCTGGATTTTTATGGAGGCTCCACTGCACACATGAATAAGTACAGCATTGGCTGGTGATAACCAACTCAACCTTCAGCCCTTCCATAGAAGTGAATAAGGCTGAAAGTCCCAACCCTCTAATCACATGGTTGGTTTCCCCGGCACCACCCCACATCCAGAGGCTGTCCAGGAGCCCCAGCCACCAGTCATCTCCTTGGCATACAAAAAGACATTTTCACCTTGGAGATTCCAAAGGTTTGGGGAATTCTGTGCCAAGAACACAATAAAGGTCAAAATGTATCTGTTACTCTAAATGGCAATATCACATTAGGCTACATTTATTTGTCTGTAACACAAAACATAATTTTTCATATGAATTGTGGCAAAACAAAACAAAATGTATGCAAGATCCAGACTACAGGATCTGGCCCATTTCTTCTTTAATCTTGTTTTACATGAATACATTTCTTATTCACCTTACTACAGTCTTACTAATGTTCATTCTAAACTTCACCAAGCAACTTCATGCCTGCCTCAGTATACTTTCCACCCACAAGTTAAAGGGAGAAAGGTTTATTTTGGCTCTCAGTTTGTAGAGGTTTCAGGCCATAGTTGGCTGGCTCCAAGGTAGGGTGGTATGGCAGAGGGGGACCGCAGAGGAGAAACAGTCCATGTCATGGTAGGCATAAGGTAGCAAGCAGCAAATAGCAGCAGCAAGCCTTTCTTTGCCTTTTAGCCCATCCAGGCTGCAAGCATTTTGGGCGATTCCACCCACACCCAGGGTGGGCTTTCCCATCATTCACACCCAGAACTTGCTAAACCAATCAGTGGACTAATTTATTACCACACACTCTTAATCCTAGTATCACACACCCAGCTCCCAAATCCAACCAGCTCTGAGAAGCTCCACCTATGAGCACATGAGGCTTTGAGGGAACATCTAGATACAAGCCATAACATTTATACAGACTCTTTCCTCTGCTTGGAATGACTTATCCCTAGATTTGCACATGGATAGTTCTTTCATACTAGTAGTCATATCTTTATTCAAATATCACCTCCTATTAAGCATCCTAATGCAAAGTAGCACCTTCATTCCAGTGCCCCTCACCCTGAGTATCCTCTCATCTTGTTTAAGCTTCTTCTTAGTGCTGTATCCATGTTCCCTCATTTATTTCATTTTACTCATTTGTCAGTGTCTTTGATTTCTGCTTCACTCTATTAGACTTTAAACCCCCATGAGTTCAAGGACCACTCGGTCTGTTTACAACTGTACCTTCAGTGCAAACAAAAGTGTTTATCATAAATAGGTGTCTATAAGTATTTGTTGAACAAATAAAGCAAATTAAAGACATTCTTCCTTTCTGAGGAGACATAACTGGGGAGATCTGCAGTCTCTCTTGAGCTTCTTGGGGCTCCATTTAGAAAAGTGGAAATAGTAGAATTAGTATTCAAAATTCCTCCCTTTGGCTTTGTGTTCAGTCAAAGAGGCCATTCATTTCAGCACATTAAACTGGTAATTATGGGGCCTGGTTTCTCCTTTCTTTATGTGGAAGGAATAAATAGTTATTATTGAATAGTCATTTAATAAGCAGTGGTTTCTTTCAGAGCAACCATTATTAACACTGCATAAATACGTATATAAATAAAGCTATTTATTTAAAACTAGAATCAAGTGACTTATTAGATTCCATTTCTCTTCTCCTTTCCATCCTGTGTACAACCTGGTCAGAGTGTGGACTCCTTTTCTGCCTTCGTCCTCATTGATGTCCTAGCTCATGCTGAAGAGCACCTCAGTGCTAGGGTTAAAAAAAACTCTGTAACCCACGGTAATTTCATTCCAAGACAGCAATTTTTTTATGGCATTACAGATTTATCTACCATTAGTGTTGGCACAAAATAACGTTTTTAGTCAAACTGATAATTGTGTACTACATGTATTGTATACGTATCGCTTTCTCTGAATTTTCAGAGAAAAAAATGGAACACATTTTGTTTATAATAGAAAAACAAGACAAGAAGTTCAGTCTCTTAGTCCTGATCTCAGCTCTCAACTTAACTAGCTGAAATTTCTGAACAAGTCGTTTAAATTCCTGGAGCCTTAATTTTCTCACTTGTGCAACAAGAGGGCCAGTTTAGGTAAAAACTTCTCTTCAGTAGGACTTATTGTATCCCAAGCACTATTTTAAGTTGGTCCTCAGTCCTCATCCAAACCTCATGAGGTAGGTGGTATTATTACTTGAGACAAATTTAGTGGAGAGAAAAAAAGTAACATAGACAGCAAGTGGTGGAGATGGCTTAAACCTAGGTAGCCTAACTCCAGAATTCACACTCTCATCTACCTGTTTTAATACAGGATCTCTATTCTGTCCATCTCTGAAAGTTAAATTAAGTTGTGAATCCCTGAATCGTAAGTCAGTCTATCTGCATACTCACTCCATTTTTCTAGTTGATTGGAACTACGTAAGTGTAGAGATTACACCAATCTTTTAATAAACTGGGACAGCAGGCTCAGTGCCTTGCATGCAGTAAGTGTTGAAGATCAACTTAAAACTGGTCAGGAGTTGAGGTAAATTCAGGCAACTGTTTGGAGACAGATGAAATTTAAAGTCTTTTCTGAAAGTCTGTGATCCGGGTATTGAATATTTTTGAAGGAGTCAGCCCTTTTTGCACAAATTTACCTTCACTCATACCTCAACTTACTGTAATGTGATTCTCCTCTCCATTAATGCCATTGAATCTGTTCTTGCTGAAGTCACCAAGCAACTTCAAAAGATATTTCTCACGGTGCTGGGGATTTGGCTCAGCAGCACAGTGCCTGGCTTGCAAGCGCAAGGACCTGAGTTCAAGCCTCAGTACCAAAAAAAAAAAGATATTTCTCATAAAAATTGATTGCATCTCCTAAGAACATTGTAATTCATTTCTACCCCTCTTCCTTGAAGTCTTCACTTTCCCTGAATTGGATGACAAGCATTGTCCTGACTTCTCTGCTGCTGCTTAAGGTGCTATACTTGGCATTTATTTTAGAATCCACTTTCCCTGCCTATACCAATCACACTAGTATCTCATGAGGGTCTATCACATGCCCTTCCATTCTCAGTTCACGCACTTTCCTCTGAAGATCTTATTTCCTCCCTTGGCTTTGATCTACCATCCATATGCTAAGGCTTTTTAAATCTATACCTTCAGCCAAGATCTTTCTCCTGAGCTTCAAACCTGGTATAGTGGTACGTAAGAATAACTTACTGTAAAAATACTTCAGAACAGAATGATATGTGTGTAGAATGGATTAGTTGGATTTACATATCCAAATAAGAAATCTACACTCTAAGGATGGATAACTAATATCTGATATAACTAATACTAGATCCATAGTCTATAGGTGTCACTATAGCTGCTTTATATTCTGCAACCACATTCTCTCCCAGAGAGCTTAATTACATAGCAATACTAGGAATAATATTTTGTTTGTGAAATGAGTGATGCATGTTATGTATTTGCCTATATAAAGGACTGCATAAATATCTGGCAGGCCCAACAGCCTGTACCTTTGAAACATCACTCAAGGTCATTATTGAGTGAAACCATGTGGCTCCTATTTCACAGCAAACATATTCCAAGTACCGCGTGGAGAGTATCTTATATATTAAATTCAGCATGTACAAAACTAAACTGATCATCTTTGCACAAACTAGTTATTTTTTATATTTTGTGTGTATGCAGTACATAGACCAATATCCATTCAATAATCTAAGCCAGAAATTTGACAATAGTTTTAACATCTTCCATTCTCATTATGTTGGCAGTCAATCAAATACCAAGCCTCATCACCTGAGTAATTCTCAAATCCTTCCACTTCTCTCCATCTCTAGCACTTCCCTAGCTATGTCACCAGCTCCACTCTCCCCTGCATTAGTATAATGTCCTGCATTCAGTCTCCGCCCTTGTACTTTATCTGCTACATATGAGCCAGACTAGCACTTAAGAAATCTTTATTCTAATTTTATTTTAATTACATATGGTAAAATAAGGGTTATATTCAAATTATCTAACAACAGCTAGCAGTATAGGCACCAACCTGTGACAACAAATGGCAAACCCATTTCCAATGAAAAACAATGGTAAATCCAGCTTTGAACAAGCCATGCTTTTCCGGCAGCTCCATTCACTCTTACTCTTCAAATGCCACTATATTGTAGATCTGGCATGTTGGTGTTAATATTTTTAATCGTTTGCATCTTAATTGTGCTTGACATACAGGAGACTATTGTTATCGATGAATAAGAATGGGGAAAAATCAATTAATCAATAAGCCAATATTTTCAACCTTGTTTCTAAAGCCCTGGTTCCTATACCAATCTTTAATGTAAGTTGGGAGTGGAGAGTAGTGTGGAATTTATGGAAGTGAAGCTTACCCTTAGTAGTTCAGCATTAAATCATATTTATTGCTTTCTAACTCTGATACTGAACCCCAATTTGCACCTATCTGCCTCTTTCTATGTGTCTTTAGGATGATTCTCTTCTCTTTCCAGTCTAATAAACCCGCTCCCCCTACTCAGTTTCCTCATAAAGACAGGAACTTGGAAGTTTCCCTGGGGCCTATGGATTGATAAGCTGGATTTAGTGTTACTGATTTTATTTCCTACCAATTTTCAGTGAAGTTTAATTCAACAAATACATATGGATAAACTTTTGCAATAGAATAATGAATGAGTCATATTCTCTTTCATTAAGAAGTGACTTTATATTAGTGAAAAATATGCAGTCAAATGAGTCATTTAAATTGAAGCTTTGTTGTCCAACGGTCAGCCTAAGCTCAGCATGACAGAGGACTAGGACATTGAGGAAAAAAATTAGAAAAGTTTTATATAATTGATGTAAAAAGAAACAAAACAATCACCAGTGAACAAGTTCCGAGCTTTACAGACTTCTTTAAACTTGTATTATTACTTAATATTATTCTAATTTCTATTATGTGCATTACACAATTGTTTTGTGCTCCCAATAAAAGATATCTCTAAAGTTTTACCCTATACCTAATAAGTTCCAAGACAGAAACATAGGTAGAATGCCATGAGAGCATACAGGAAGATAGTTAAATCAACAGAAGAAGGTGAGGATACAAAACAGGTAAAGAGAAGGCATTTCAGAGGGAATGATACCAAAACTAAGCTTTAAGGGACAAAGTAACCAGGCAAAGGTTTGGGAAGCTGGGAGAGGTAAGCTACCACTTGGTGGGATGTACTCATCACCTTGGGTTAGGTCCCCCAGTGCCACCTATTGGCCTAGACCATCATCTGTTGCTCCTTATTTTCTACTATATCTGCTACAGCAAACCTTCACTTTCTGCCTGATGCTGCATCAGTGTCACCTAAGAGGTACATCTAGTTCCAGTTCCCATGCTGGGCTCTATCCAACATTCAAGATTCACAGCCCATTTATTACATCCCAGTAAGGCTAGTTTGCTCAGTTTCCATTTTTGCTCTTCCATCAATAATCACCTGCACACCTGTCAGGCACTGAACAAATGTCAACTTACATCATCAGTATCTCAACACTGTATCTCAAAGTTTTCTTCTGTAGATGTTTTCCAATGGATAGGAGCATGCATCTAAAGGGTTTTTTCCTTCTCTTTCAAAGTGGCCAGGGCAATTTTTAGCTGCATGTTTATAAATACACAGCCAATGAAAATAGGTATCTGTAAGGCACTTCGTAACTAAAGTCATCTAACTATGATGGTAAATTTCTCAGCTGACTGATTCCCATCTCTCTTTGCTTCACACTGTCCTATTATAACCTCAAATGCTGAGTAGACAAATACTTGAAGCTTTACTGAATCTTCATTTAGTTTTTATTTAGCCTTATTACCACATGATTTCTAACCAACATCAACTTACTTGAAATCTTTATCAGAGTGAATGCGGTGGGAAAATTACAAATTATTCAAATATCTGGATGGAATTTAATAGTTTTGAAGAAATAGAGCATTTCATGTGGGAGCAATATCAAAATAGATGACCTAAATCTAAAGTTGTTTCACTAAAATCTGCACTTACTGAAATGTCTCCTGAGGCTGCTAATAATTTCCAGCCCTTTCTGAAGAGAAAAATAAACAACTATAGTCCAGGTTTTCCTTAAAGCTTTTGCTCACCTATAAATGTTATGATATTTCATAAAGTGTGTTCATTGGACCACTTAGCCTCCAGCCTAAAAGCTCTAAAAAAAAAAAGGCTTTTTTGGAGAAATAACTTTGGGAAACACTACATACATATAGACCTAGTTTAGAGGTTCACAGGGATGCTAGCATATTAAAAACTATAGTACACAGGTACATACAGTACTTATGGTCTGTAAAACCTTCATTTCACAAACATATTGGAGTACAGAAAAACTTTCCCCATCGTTATCAGCATCACTCCGGAAAATACTGAATTGGGAAGGGCTCTCTTGGCCCCTCCACTGTCCTCAGGCATGCATGTGTTTGTTGTGTAGTCTGTGGCACTTATTTCAACCTTCTATAGTAATTTAAAGTGGGGACATCTTTTTGACATTTGTTGTATCTGACTTTGGTAAATGAGCCCAGAGGTAGACAGTTCTTCATACTAATCCTTTACTTTCATAA